CAGTTTTAAGGCTGATGCAGGCCGATACCGATAGGGGGCCGATTATATCGTGCATCCCTAATTAATTTATTTTCCACTTTCACAGCTCATGTCTCACAGATCCGCCGCAGCTCTGGTGCCCCCCAAGCTGACAGGAAGTGGATATGCTCACCACCTCCCGCCACAGTGCAGATGCATTGGAGAGAGGGAGAGAAATGGTGCAAGAAACATCCTTTTCCAGGATATAGCATATAGCTTTATTCTGCTTTCCCTGCCTCCTTTTTCAAAAATCAGGATGTGACCCAGCATGGATAAAGACAGCTAGGACTGATTTAAAGCACTTTAAAGAAGAATGAACAATCTGGGATTCACATGGAAGATAATAGAATATAGTCTACTTTTTCTAGATGTTTTTAATCTGCATAGTTGCTCATAAATAAACACTTTCTCAGAAAACAATTGCAAAAATATAAAGCTGACCAATAGATTCCCCCATTATTAAACTGGTACATTATTTTCTTAGGTTTGTGACACAATATTGAACCATGCAAAACACAGATTTACCTTCAAGAAGCCTCAGGGGGGCAAGATTTATGGACAAAATGTAAACAAAATGGAATTATGTTTTGTTTTTTTAATTTTTGTTGTTGTTGGCATTCATATAAATACACTGGTGTGATAAATTAGTATACAGTTGACATTTTTTGTATGTCTATTTTGAATTTATAGCTTCCCCTGGAGAAAACTCCACCAGCTGCCACTGGCCGAGATGCTACCATTTACTGTTAAAAAATGAACTTCCAGATCTCCCATTTTTCTGGCCATGATATACACACCTCATAGGATGATCACCATCACACCATCATAGGATGGGCCCCAACAGAAATGATAAAAACAGACATGTATGCACATAGAGTTGGTTTTTTTGTTTAGTTTTTTTTTTTCTTTTACAGTTGCACATTTCAAGTTTTCAGTTTTCAAGTTCATGTTTGCTGACAGATATTTAATGAAGATAAACTGTGCGTTCATCAGTAGTGGATTAGAGATTCACAGTTAAAGGGGAACACAGGTTTTTTTTACATTGGGCCCTTGATTTTACATTATTACGTCATGTTCTTCTCACCCATATGAGTTTTGTGTCATTTGGAGCTGTTCCGAACATATTCGGGTTTGTAATCCAAGTAACGTCTTCCTATGGGCAACGAGTTGAAGGCACAAACTAAACTGTTCATAATTTATTCTTTATGGTACGCCAGCATTTATAACATGTAGGCGAATCATTGTCCCCCAGACATCCGCGGTTATATTTTTTATATTTATATCTTTTAAAAACAAAGCGGCGTGTTTATGACGTCATTCGTGCGCGCCAGCTACCATTCATTCTTCCTGTCCGCTGAACTGTTGCTAGTTTTACTCACATGCCTGGAAGATGTCTAGTGCTACTACCACAGATGATCTCGCTCTCGAAATGGAATTGAACAATTCAGATTAGCTCGCCGAATGAATAGAAGGAGTAGAGCGTAGCCGCCTGTGGCCCGGGCTGCCTCTCACAACTTCAGTCTGGCGCGCGGATGATGTCATACATACGCCGCTTTGTTTTAAAAATAAATAAATATAAAATTTATAACCGCGGATGTCTGGGGGACAGTGATTCGCCTACATGTTATGAATGCTGGCGTACTATAAATGATAAATTATGAACAGTTTAGTTTGTGCCTTCAAGTCGTTGCCCATAGGAAGACGTTACTTGGATATAACAAAACTGAATATCTTCAGAACAGCTCCAAATGACACAAAAGTCATATGGGTGAGTAGAACATGATGTAATAACGTAAAAATCAAGGGGCCAATGTAAAAAAAAAAAAAAAATGGTTCTCCTTTAAGTTCACAAGTGGGCCAATTCAATTCAGTTTGGTTCAGGTAGATATTTAATGATGCAGAGAATAACAATCTGATTGTACAATTTATTTATAACGCTTTATAATAATAAATAAGTGGTTTAAATATTTGCTTGCGTGCTTGCATTAATTATCTGTGCCCATGCTTTTAAAAAAATAAATAATTACCCAAAATGCGAGCTTTACGCGCTCGCATTTTTTTGTGCCCTGTTGTGCCCCTGTATAGTATTGTGTCAGCTGACGCCCCTGTTTTTTGTCTAGAGCTTGGTTGTTAACCCGCTGCCTTTGTTAGAAAGCGCGCGCCTCTTCACGTGGTGGTGGAGACACAACAGGGCGCGCGCCAAGGAGCTCCAGCTCAGCTCCAGGCTGCAGCCGACGGACAGAAGCGGACACCTGCTCACACCTCAGCTCAGCGCACAGTTTACTCCCCGCTGCGATACAGAGGAAGAAACCGGAGCCTTATGGTCAATTCAAGCACTTCTTAATGTGGCCCGGGGTAAGTCACGCTTCTTTATGATTTATTTCCATGTTTTCTTGGTATTCCCTAGAGGAAACTTCGCGATTAAAAAGCAAACCTTGTGTAATCAATACACCAAAGTTGCCTCTGGTGAAAAGCATTCCACTGGAGTTAAATATTAAGTATTTTATGGCAGATCGCTTTAATCATTAAGGCTTTCGAAACTGACAGTATATAATGGATAAATCTGCAGCTTGAATCAACTGAGCGTGTTTTTTTTCCTGTTATGGCAGCGGATCTAATGAGAAGATCATATAAAACAGCTTAACTAAGCAAACTTTCACACCTGTTTTAAACTTCACCTAAACAAAAAGTGGTGTATTTTTATATAGGGGAGAGAAATTGACACATGGTTTTTTACCATGTTTTTTTTAAGTATAAAAATGTTATATAGTTAATGCTGTAAGTCATTTAAAGGTTATTATTTTTGCACTTTTAGAAACTAAGATTGCTGTTCTTTCATCCTCAGACAGAATGTAGATATGAACATCAGAGAATCTCAGATTTCATGTTTTTTTCTTAGTTTCTCTGTTGAATTTATGTCTGGACTTGGACTGAGCCACTAAATCAGGGTCCTGCAATGTTTAATAAATGTCTAATAAATAAATGTTTAATAAAAGCAACTGAATCCCACCTTAAATTACTTTATCAACATAAAACCAAATGTTTATCATTTAATTATGTTTTGTTGAAGTCAGATGCACTTATATTTTATTAATTTTCTGCTTAAAAGAGAACCAAAAAACCTTTTTTGTATTCTTCTTTAGTCTATTAACTAAAATCCAAACCAAACACTTCATTGTATGGCTTCAATGTGAGTTTATTCTTTTTATATTCAAGTTTTGTGAATATTTTTGCAAAGCTCTTTAACCGATTGATGTTAACTTATCCTTTTTTGTATAGAATAGGGAGAACCTAAGCCCCTGTCAGGCTTCATTCTTTCAACCGATGCTGCAAGTTTTTACTGGAAGCAAGCAACAAGGTATGATGATCTACAGAAAAATGGTATCAGATTTCAAATGCCATTAGTAAAGCTATGCCAGAAATCAACAAAGGAATCTGGTGATGATATTTTCCCAAGTATTTCTCCCAGTGTTTAATTCCATCTTTATGTTTCTTGGCTGCTTGGAGGTTGATGATTTTATATGTTAAAACTTTTCTGTTTTTGGTTGATTAGTAATCAGCAGATATTTGCATGTTAAATGATCTAATCCAACCAGTTTTCTTATGTTCCTCTGCAAAGGTCTGAAAATTCAGCACTGGTAGTACTCTAAACTTTTCCTCTATGTCTGAGAGCACTAGTTCATGTGAAGTTTTAACAAGTTTTTATTGTTGTTTAACTGGCATTATTTAATGCTTTCCAATAAAATACAATTTCAGTATGAAAGGCTTATTATGACTTTATAACAACTGATGGCGTCAGTTTTTAAACAAATCGGAATCGGCATTTTTAGAGCTGGAATTAGCAAGAAAGCTGCACCTTTGATTTAAACATGTTTCTTTGAGAAATCTTTTTTTTTAAACTAATAATAAGAAAAGCTGACTTGTAAAGCACTTTCTAGGGATAATAACATATCAAAACGTTTTGCACTAGAGCCACATTCACGTATATAAACGCACACTTTCCTGCACTGAAAGCCAAGATAGCAGTTAGGACTGCAAAACCGCTAATATTCACTTAAAACTCCAATCCTCATGAGTGACTTTTTTGTAATTTAGAAGGAAACACATCATGGAGATTGTTATGAAGCTACGGCCTTGACAGGCTTATCACTTTCTGTGCACAAAGTGTCCACAAAAACAAGCCGGGCTTCTGTATAAAAACAGAACTACACATAACCTAATTTACTTTTAAGTATTCTGTTATTACACATCAATAAACTTCTGGTAGAGTAATGGCACAAAAAAAAACCCCAATTTAAAAGGATCAAAGTGAGCGTTATGTTATTTATGATAGCCGTCTAAGATAGCTTGATGATTTTGGTGCCATTAAATCCTAAACGCTTATAAAACAAACACCCTTGCATTGTTTTCAGATTCTAGTCTCTATCTATAACTTTTGGGGTGTTTTTGTGTAGCATTGAGTTCTAGTTTGGTAAAGATAAGCTTTAATAAAACAAACTTTATGAGTGAGTACATTACATAAGCTTTTGCATGAAAAGACTTGACAAGCCCTCTGAGGGGCTGTGATTTTACAGCAGATCGCTTTCCGCTTGTCAGTAGTTGGGCTTCTGTGGGCATTTTGTCTGTCTGACCTAGATGAGTGTGATGCCGTTTGGGTTGGGAGGTGTTAAATTACTGTGAGAATAAAGAATCAAAGCTAAACTTGATTAGTAAATAGTCTAAAGTTCTTATATCAAGTGGATGTTATCATTCGGGCTTCTTTGGGCCTCCCAGGAGATGGATCCCCATCTTCAATAAATACTAACAACTAAAGGCATCATAATTCATGTCAATGATCGATTCAGGATGCATTCAGTGTAAAAACAACAATTTTTTTTTTCGTATTTACATTTCACACTGTCTGCTCTCGCCGGGCTTGCATTTTTCTTCCTGTTGTCTCGTGACAACATCAACCACACTGCCTCTATCTGGAAGCCTGTTAAGCCTCTGATAAGACGTGTGTCTGGCTGAATGTGTTTGTAGAAACATTACAACTACTGAAGGTGGGCAAAACATGTTTTTATGACTAGATTATATTGGAACAATAATAATTAAGACAGAGGAAAAAAAACAAGGGGTGAAGGACGAAAATATTTGTGGACTTTCAGCGAGTAACTTGTTTTTTCTAAAGATGCACCAGTCAGTCAGTTTGAGCTGTTGATTTTACCTCATTTATTAAATGCATTAAATTTGAGAACCTGGGACATTTTTCTAGTTTTTATTTAGAGTTGAAGTTAGATTACAGTTGTGGTCTTATGCTTCAACACCCATACCCTTAGGTATAGTTTTAATTTGTGGAAAACAAAACTAAAAAGTAAGAAACTGAAGCTCAGGGGAAAATTTGCATTGACCAAATAGTCAGATTTTGTGCATTAATCATAGATCTGCTTTTGATATAGGCCAAGTAAGTACCGGCAAGTGAGTGCAAGCAGCCACTCCAGAGATCCAATGTGTTTTTCTATTAAGATTATGTTTTTTTCCACAGAATCAGAAAGTTTTTCTTGTAGCTCTTGAATAGTAAAACTATCTGTGCCATTTAGTGAGTGAGTCAGACTCAGAAGAATAGGCGTGCGTTACCTGGATGAGGTTTTCTCTTTTGAAGTAGAACTTGTGTCATCATGCCGGGACTGCACCTACTACAATACATTTGAAAACATGTTGCAATTCAGAGGTCAGGACCCAAACTCAAGTCAGCCCTAAAATTTCCAAGGTATGCTGGAAAATGGTGGGATTTGATATGGTCTTGTACATTGGCATAGAAAACAAAGAAAATTTACGGTAAATTAGATGTCTGAGTTTATTAGATGTTTTTTTTTTGTTTTCAAAGGATTAAAGCTAAGTATGGGAAAACAACTTTGAAGTGAAGCTGATCTAAATCGGTAAACATTAAAAATAGTCCTTGGACGCTAGTGGGGCGTAATCCACTATTACTATTGTGCTGTTTCATGATTTCTGCAATATAAAGGAAAAATAAAAAAAACTTGTAATGATACATTTTTTACACTCAAATGCTCCAGAATGTTAATGATAAGATTTGAGTTTTACAAATCTGGAATTTTGAGAATTCTTGTTGTTAAAAGAGGAATAATTTTGTTAGTGATGTAAAATGTTTTTTGACCAATTTAATCTGCTTCCCTGACATCCTTCAGTGCAGCTTTATCTTATCCACTGACGGATAAGATGTTTCTGGACAGCTGGTGTAAGAGACAAAATGAACTGTTCTCATGTACTTTACTTATATTGATCTTTAAGTTAAACCAAATAGGTTTTTTGAAGGATAACTAGTGCCTGACTTGCTTGTGCCAATCATGCTGCCTCCTGATATCAGATCAAACTCATTTAGGAGGAGAAGCCTGTAAACAAGCAATTAAGGCACATTACAACAAATGACTTCAATTTCTTCTGAGCTCCGATGGAAATGAGCTCAAATGAGCGCTGAAAATAAACCAGAGGTGCGGATGTTTGGTCATCATCTCGGTGATCTGTCCGCAATTCTTTGATCCTGCATGGTTTATTCCCTGCAGCTCAACATGCAGTCTTTTTTTTTTTTTAAAGAAAAAAGGATTTTTAAAGGAACAGCATTAGCTGATGACTGTTAGTCTTTTCTTTTGGTTCTAGTCATCCCACATAAGAGGAGGGGAATGATAGATTTGAATCCTGGGACAGCTGATGACTGAGGACTTGAGTTGTACCCCTGACATCTCCTGTCAATCTTTCTGTGCCAATAAATCCCTCCATAATCTCACAAAAATTAACACGTTTGATTTTTGTTGCATCATTTGCCTCCAGTCATAACAAGCTGCACAGCAGTTCCTTTAGGATCTATAAGAATATCCTGTGTTTGTCTTTGAGGGGGGGAAAGCGATTCATGCAGACAAGAACAACAGGAGGAGCAGGTGTCCAGCCTGGACAGATGATTGCAGGCATTCTTCATAAACCTAAGGGGGGGTTTATTATGCCATATGGCAAGCAGTGCGCTCATGTCAACACTCCAGCTCTCCTCAGCGCCTCTCTATCTATTCAGGGAGCTGCTGATTAGTTTAAAATATCCTGTGTGAAGGCCACAGCGCCTGTCCTCACCAATACCAACCCAGCATTGACCAGGATAATCTGTGTCTGTTTCGTCTAATTGAAACAAGAAGCAGGAGGCATGTGGTCGTCTGCTTTCGTTTTCCTGCTGGATTATGGTAGATTTATGTAGTATTCTGCAGATATATGCGATTGTTTTATGCAATTAGAAATTCTTTTAACTCGTCAGCTTTATTCTAGTTTAGGGAAAGACTAAATACGGGTGCCATGGAGTGGATAACAGT